TGGGCTATGGAGTATACCTTCCTGGAGCTCATAGGCGCGGAATCGGCCCTGTGGATGCCAGGACCGGGGGGCATCAAGATCCACCTCCCCTTTCAGAAGCGGCCCGACTCGACGCGGGCCAAGATACATCTACGTCTCGAGGATTTCCTACGACTGCTGCGTGTCTTACTACTACCACGTCAAGGGCTCGCCAGTGTACGATTATGGCGAAATAGAGTTCGACAACCTTTTGGCGGCGTTTCTGGACGAGAGAGTGATTGGAGGGAACTCCTTAGGCTATCTGCTCTCCTGGTACGCCTGCAGGGAGTCCAGAACGTGCTGTTCCTGACCTACGAGGACCTTGAGTCTGACACGGACGTTCGGGTGCTCGAGATCGCGACGTTTATGCGCGACGAGTACGGCCATGAGCAGCTTAAAGACGACGCCTCACCTCGGAAGATCGTCGAAATGACCAATTTGAGATCATGAAAGAGGCGCGTACAACGACGGCATGGAGAGGGTCCCGCCCGATCTACTCTCACTTGATGCGGAGAGGTAACAGGCATCAATGGAGGTGTATCGAAGAACCTCTAACGAAGGACACGTGAGACCGACCAAATTATTTTTAGCGGCGAAGCTCCTTAGGGGCTAGCCATGTCCGTATGTCCGTCCGATGTCCGGCGTCGGCGGCTCGTGCTCACGAGCACGTGAGCACGTGCTCCCGTGCTCGTGTAGGGCAAAAAAAAAAAAAACCGCATCTCCACGTGGTGAATGGTGTTGATTGGGACGAAGCTCTGGCGGTGCTTGTCCGCGTAGGCGGTGAGCCGCAGCATGCCGAGCCTTTCGTTCGTTTTCATCCATGTCAGAAAGAGAATGAATGGTATGGAACGTGGTTATATACGCATTTGTGCATTTGACCGCAGCGTGACATGGATCAAAATGGACGAAAAGCTCGGCATGCTGCGGCTCAGCGTCTACGCGGACAAGCACCACCAGAGCTTCGCCATAATCAACATCATTCACCATCACCACGTGGAGATGCGGTTGTTTTTTTAAGGGATCGCCAGAAATTGGAGTAACCATTTTACCGCAAAACAAACCGCAAGAACAAAGAAAAAAAAAAATAGCAGTAAACACTTGAGGCAGCGACATGATGCGACTGTGGCGTAGTTTCGGTCTTCCATGAAAATATCCTGATTAGGATATATTATTTACTTAAATGTGACTCAGCGTCAACGTTCGCCCGGTGTACACTGAGCCCCTGCAGATTATGACTTGAAGTACGTTTTTTGCCAAACATAAGACGCCTTTTCACTGAAAGCGCAAATGATTTCAGCAAGCTCTCTTTTGAATATTTACAGGATACTCGGGAAGAGTTTTATCATCTAAAATCACTAACAACTTAAAAAAAAAATAAGAAGACAGTGCGACACTTTGCTTGTTCGCACCCCCGCCCCCCCCCCCCCCCCCCCCCCCCCTTCCCGCATTTTATTGTGACTTGGTGCCTGCTCTACATGAGGGTACTGATACACCGAGGTATCTAATAGAAGCTATGCATGACCCTGTTTTGTATTATTAAGAGGCTATCTATGAATTGCCTTTCCTGCTTTCAGCGTAATTTGTATGAGAAAGTCCCAAGTCATGTGACTTTTTCAACAACTGCGTACACACCGCGACACTGCTAGCGCAAACACAACATCGACGATATTTTCAACTTTATTTGAAAAAAGGCTTTCATCAGGCACAAAATTTTACTGCTTAGGTTAGCGCACAAAGTGAGAACTAATGTATCCTTTCCGAAATTCAGTCTGGCCACTTTGATCACTATCATCATCAGAGGAATGGCATATGCACCGATGGCGCCCTTCTGGTGACGGATGACGAAAGAAGTTGAAGATGCTGCGAAGCGGATATTGCGAGTCCTATACATTCGAGACGTTAGTACGATGCGACGCAGGAATTGCATACAAGTTCTCCGTAATCGTTCAATTCTAAATCGGGTCCAGTAAATCTGCTGGCGGCAATTAATCGGCTTTCAGACCCTTGACGTATAAAATCTTTTTACGGCTTCAATGTAGGTCGGTCCGTTGTACTTACCCCGATTCTACGATTAAAACTAAAAACAGCGCAAAGACACGGACAAAAACGAGAAGGTAGACGAACAAGTCGCTGACTTACAGCCGAAGTTTATTCGTGCTAACAAGAGTGTAAACACCTTAACGTAAAAACTAACAAACCAAGAGAAAATACATGACATGGACGCCACGTCCTCACGCACTGTCACTGTGCGTCTAAAAAGCAACATTCCTTATCAGACAGACATAGTGATGAAGCGCTGGCACAGTTTTTGCCCAAATCTTTGGGTTGCTTTTAATTTTTAATCATAAAATACCAACTACCCCCGAAACTTTTACGTTAGTCAACCGATTCTATATTTCGCACCTTCGAAACTGAGAGATCCAGAAAGAATTGTAAGGTAAAAAAAACTTTCAGCCTTTCCACTCTGGTGAAGAAGGAAGAACAGCGGAGCTGCAGCTTCTGTTCTCGGCGGCGGCTTTCCAGGCGAGGGATCTGCTCTTCTTTGGCAAGGGAATCTGAAGCGCTCGACGCACTGGAACTTGAGGCGATAGCGGCCTCGCGGCAATTGCGGAACCCCCGCTGTTGCCGCGCACATCGCCGCTTGTTTCGTTCCCGCTCTTCTTCCTCCGAAGAAATGTTGCCGCCATCTGAGTTACGGCAGCAGTCAGTTGTCTGATTGCCGAGGCTGGAAAGGTTGCCGCGATCTATGAGCGACGGCGGCAAGCAGACAACCGGCAAACCCAACACTCTGGACAGCTACCGCCATCTATGAGCGACGACGGCAACCAGAGTGTTGTGTCGACATTTGTTTGGTACCGGACACAATCCTGGGGAAACTGGCCCTTAACAGCTCCGCTGTAAAAACACACATTCTCGACTGCTCTTGACTAGCGAAAGTGATGGTGCCCGGCCAAATACACGGTGTTCCCAAAAAGGTTTACGTGTTGTTTTTTTAACCGGGAAAATATACTATGTATCGCCGAACGCTGATTAAGGTCCGAACCAGATTCCAAAGTTTCAGCAGTAAACGTTATCTTATTTAAAAGTTAAAAGTGATTCACTAAAATCTTGAATGGGCAAATGGCGGCGGCCGCCGGAGCTCCCAAATACGTGGAGCTCTATGGCGCCAGAAACCACAAATGGGCGAAAATGCGCCTCATTTTCCCTTTGAAATTTTAAGAAAATCACATATAACTTTTTGGAATATTTGATATCGGTTCGTGTTAAAACTTTGGCATATTGTTCGAACTTTTAGCGCTACCTCTGGGCGGAGGAGCGTTGGGCGACGCACATTTTATTTTTGCAATTCGAAATCCTTTTGTAGATCTTTTTGGGGACTCTGAGTACTACAGATTCCAGGTCGATTATCGCCATTAGTACGGTGAAAAAAAAATAAACTACTCTTTGAGCGACCAGATGGCATTGAATTTCTAAAAGGCTCAATTCCACTGCCTTAGAAGTTTTGACGACGCAGCTCTTACAATTTAGGAGAACAATAACATGAAAAGACGGCCTTAAGAATTATTTTAGGAAAAAAAAAAAAGGTTTTGAGTGTAAGAGAGCAAACAATATTCTTTCTATAGTGTTTTTCACAGATAACATTTCCACGCGAGTCCATAATCTTAATTCTTGGTGCTTAAACGGAACGCTGCTCCCATCTGCACATGGTTCCTTAGGACACTGACCCAGGACTCTAAAAGCAGCGTGAATCGAGATTTCGCTATCGATGCACAGGCGAAACAAGCGTACGTCTTCTTACCAGCAGCACATGCTGTGTCGGTGCTTGGAGGCGCTGAAAAATAAGTTTATTGATTTAAAATACGCAAGAATAATATAATTGTAAGAGATCCGGGGAGATGGGCATGATTGATAAGTTAATTGCATACACAGTGCCAAAGACGCTTATATTGGCGAGGAACGCCTCCAGTACGATGACGCTACATGGTGATCTTGGCGCGACTGGTTTAGGACGACTTTCTGAAAGATTCGAAGATTAGAATGGGACCGAGGTGGCGATTTTCATGGCAACGTATTTAGATTATCCAATCACATTGCGAGGTTTTGGTCGTCTGTACGTTAGTATCTGCTTGTGTCCGGCTAGCAGGTAGGAAAGGCAATAGCTATACTTTCCCAGAATCCAGTAACTTTAACCCGAACAGATTGTGGCCGCTGGAACGGCAGATTCCCGGCCCTCAGCGCCACGCGTATACGGATTATGTCGATCGTTCCGCTATTCGCGCTCTTTTACCATAACTTTGGGTGACCATGATTGGAACATGACGTGCACCATATTTTTAGTCACCGAGAGTTACTCCAACGGACTTTTCCCGCGACCACCGCCAGGGTAATATTTCCGGCTTCTGGTTGGCCACGTTCGAATTTGTGAAGACGCCCTGGAACACGCCCAGCCCGCTTTCGGCCAATTGCGCCTCCTCATTTGCCTCCCATACTTCCGAATGAATGGCCCAACTCTCTCTCTATAGGCAATTGCAAGCATGGCGCCACAAGTGGTGCCCCATGCGTGCAAGCGCGTGCAACGCGCGGGTGAACGTAGCTTTGGCAAGCTCATAATCGCAAGGGCGTGCCTGCTCGAGCAGAGACATGGCGGCGGCCAGTCGCCCAGCTTGCAATCGTCTATATGCGGCTCTGTTGTGCCATTTAAACCTCTAGCGTATATTATAACAACTATATGGTCTGAACTAGTTCAGATCTGGGATCTAGTTCAGATCTGGGACGATTCACCCTTCAGTAACCGCTCATTCACACTGGAAGCGGATCCGCGTTCACAAAGCGGTTCCGAACGCGGTTGTATAAAAATCCAGTACATTTGCACGCGCACTTGATGTCATCGAGTGCGCGTGCAATTGTACTGGATCTTTATACAACCGCGTACGCAACCGCTTTCCGAACGCGGACCTGCTTGCAGTGTGAATGAGCGGTAAAGAACGAAGACGAAGCGGCTATTCGAAGTTCCTCACGTGGCTTTCACTGGGTTACATCGACGTGTTCCGTCGAGATGGAGTCTTGGAGGGCAGCGGCCTTTTTGCTGTGGATCGTCGCCAGGATCGCCCGGTGTCAGAAGAACACTGGCATCTACAACCGCAGTATGGACTTTTTCGAATACTTCTTTCTAATTAATTCTGAAATTAACCGCAGAAGAGAAAAAACGGGGCTCTTCGAGGCATGGACAGAACGAGCGGGTTGGTATGGATAGTAAACTTGAGGAAGAAAACGAGAAAGGACGGTCAAACACAAACTTTTTTTTTTTCAGTATATGGTTAGACCTCCATGTTTAAGACTAAAACTACTTCCGCGAGTACGTTCCATCCAAGCATCTGATCATTCAACCAATAGAGTAAAAACAAATATCAGATGCTTCTCTTTGAGGTTCGGAAGGCGAAATAACGAACACGACGGAACATTCATATCTACCCTCGGCTTCCAGATGACGTCATCGCGTTCCGCAGGGGGTCATTTCTAGCTCTCTCTGTAGGTATTTTAGCCAACGTCGACGCAAGTTGTGTATTGTCTACGGAAACTTGGATGCTGCGTGTAACCTTGTCGGCGTCCTGCGGACGCAGTCCTGCTGAACGACTATTGCGGCAACGCGCGGGAGGCCAAGAAGGAGCTTCGCAGTTCGGCCGCTTCCCTTTCGTCTGCCATCGTGACGGCCGTTCAGCGGCGCCGCCGGAGTCCCGGCAGCGAGCTGTGCGAGTACGAGGTGCAGACCACGGGCGGCACGGGACTCATCGTGGCCATCAGCGAGCTGAACTTGCGCATGGGCACGCTGAACACGTCCTGCATCGACTACATATGCGTGAGCTCCCCCCCCGTGACTCAGTCTTCTACACGTTACACGGAAATAAACTAAGAGATTACTATTACACTTGGTTAAAAAGTGTTCATTGAGTTTACTTGATTACTTGAGGCGAAAAGTAATCGAAGGTTACCCGAAAAAATACACGTTCTTTTTTCGATTATTTTACGTGTTCAAAACACAAATTTTACTGCCCGTGCTGCTCATTATTGGATGAGAATAAGCGTATTACAGGCTACTTATCTTATCAGTCCTCCAATTTAGGTAGACCATCAGGTTCTAGGATTGCTTGGTTGTAAACTTTAGAAACGGGGGTGCCCCTAGAAAAACGAGGGGAAAAAAGTACCGCCTTCGAGCAATTTTCGTATCTCTTGTGGAGATCAATCTTCGGATTACTTTGTAAGAAAGTTAATCTATTGACTACGGACTTACTCCAAAATGTAAGCGATTACAAGTTATTTGATTATTCGTAATGAGTTTCGTGCAAACCTGGCGTGACCGTAACCACTCCCTTCTCCTTCATGGTTCACTTTCGAAGGAAAAAAAATATATAATTTCATTCGAAATCGCGTTCACTCTGCGTGATTGGTTTAGTGATGCTGTCGGGAGCGGTTATAACAAAGTCGGTTATAACGAAATAGCGGCTTCAAAAAAGCGATCCCAATTTCCCATTCCCTTTTGCACTTCGTTATAACCGAGGTCGGTTATAACAAAATAGCGGATATAGTGAAGTGATTTCCGATTCCCGTCGACTTCCTTATAACCGGTTTCGACAGTATTGCACACGCACAAAAATGATAAGCGCCATGACGATGCACCTTCGCCGCTACTTCATCTTCTCTGGCAGCATCGGCTGGGCGTGAAGTGGAGAGATATTACTCCTCAAATGTGCGAGCCTGGTCGTGCCTCTGCCTTCCAGATCAAGACCAAATACACCTTGTCCGGAGAGAACGACGTGTTCTGCGGGAAAGTGACCAGCGACCTTAACAAGCACTGGACCACTTCTTACTCCATAGACATAGAGTTCTTCTCGAAGACGCCCATATCGTACTTCGTCAAGGGCGATATTGTCAAGATCATCGTCACGAGCTTCACAGAAGGTGATAAAAACCTCGTTTTCATTGTCAACGTGCTCCACTGACATTTTCGGAATCCAAGGACTCACTGTACCCTGTGCATACGACACAGTTAGTGCCAACGTTTCTATAGATCAACTCAGTTGTGGGATTCTAGCGGAAGTGGGTATACCCTTCTTTCTCCGTTTCATGTCGGCAGTCCCTGCGCGTCGCCTCTCGGCCGTTATTGAAGGTAGACTTGGAGCATGTGCAGTTACTCTAGCTGTCTGCTGTTTGAAGCGCCATCTAGGGGCTGCGTTTCAAAATTGTGTATTTTCTAGAGTGCGGTGAAGCGCCATCTAGACGCTGTGATTGAAAACCTATGTATTATGTTGGGTACGCTGTAGTTACCATAGCAACCGCCCCCAAAAGGGAGAGCTTCCCCCTAGAAAAACCCACACAAAGCAACTGGACATTGATGTGACCACCGCAGCTAGCGACGGAGGCTGCGGTCCTGGGGAGTTCCGGTGCGCGAGCAGCCGCTGCATCTTCGGCGGCTATCGCTGCGACGACATCAACAACTGCGGGGACGGCAGCGACGAGGCGCTCTTCGGCGATTCCATGTGCCGTGAGTTCTCGCCGGTGACTTTGCTATGAATATAAGCAGTAAAGGCACGTTCGCGCTCTTGCGTTGGCCTACGACCGAGCTCTTGCGATCTCTTGTGACGAGAGAACACACTGGCACGCTGGCGCCATCTATGAGGTGACCCTGTAACTGTACTTCATTAGAGCGAAGGTTATGCGGTATTTGGGAGATCAAATGTACGTACTATCTATGAAAAAATGTCGTGCATATCATTGTCACAAGTGTTTTAAAGCCAAGAGACAAAGAATGATGCGTAAAAAAGTGGGAAAAATACAGAAATGCCAATTGTTCCGCAACTACCCGATAGATGGCGCAAGTGTTTCTCTCGTTGGAAGAGATCCCAAGAACTTTTCAAGCCTGGTCCACACACCCGTTATTGCTGTGTCTTAGAACCTCTCAAAATCTGTTACGACGGTAGAAGACACTGGCACTATCTTTCGGGTAGCCGGAACATTTCGTTTCCGTATAAGAACTCTGTTTCGCGCACTATTTTTCTTATTTTTCTTGAATAGCCCTTTTCGATGTTATAAACGACAATTGCTCACAGATAGTAGATACATCGGATCTCTCAAATACCGCAAAACCTTCTCTCTGGTGAAATGAAATTCCAAGGTCACCTCATAGATGGCGCCATGTTGCCAGCCTATACTCTCGTCGTAAGAGATCACAAGACTTCGGTCGTAAGCAAAGGCAAGTTTGTGAAAAAGGCTTTATTCCCTCCGTTCATTCTCGCGGTTTCCCGATTCAGTGATGCCGAAAAGCTCCCTCATCCTGATCACCCTCGGAGTGGCGAACCTTGTCATCACCTGGTTCTCCGTTTTTTATTGCTGCGTCCGCAACGCTCTCACAAAGAAAAAGGTGAGCACTGACCCAACTCGGCTCTCGCAACTCCTGGGCAGGGCTTGGGCGGGTCTATTGCCATTACGCCGGGCCTGGGCTAAACAAAAAGCGGTCCGTGCGTGCTCTAGTGCTGGCGCGTTCGGCTTCCGCTCGTCTTTGTAAACGTGTGCGCGAATAAGGACGGTCCCTTCCGTGGCTCTCACCGACCCGCTGAGGTCCATTGACGTGCCCCTACTCATGTTGCGCCATCTCACGGCGTTCGACAGAAACGCTTGAGATGGCGCAAGCGGCTGAGGTTTTAGGAAGCGAATGGCGGCGCACAGCAGAAGACTGAACTGAATGACGCCATTTTGTTCCAGCGGAATGTGCTTCGTCATTTCTATCGGCTGTCATTATTTGTAAAAAAGAGTATGAAGGAAATTTTAACCTCTCTCCTCTTCCACCGTTCTCTCTGTATACTCCGTTTCACACCAAGTCCGAACGCTACCGAAGCTACGGTCAGATAAAAACAATTAGACAGCGCCAAAAAGTGCTTCGTCACGGCACTCGTTGTCTTTGTGCGTTCTCTGATTACCGGCTAAATCAGCCATGCACTTAAACAAAAAAAAAAAAAAAAAGATCACGACGCGTTTGCCATGCGTGATTGGTGTAGCCGGTAATCAGACAACGCACAGACCACGAGTGCCATGACGGTGCGCTTTTGGAGCTGCTCGACTGGCTTCGTTTTATCGTAGAGGAGGCTGCGCTTGGACTGGGTGCAAAACGGATCTGTTCCAGCCAACGGAGCCGGGCTGCTATAGATATTTGCAAAAATCCCCTTCCGCGCGGTACCATCTTTGTCTGAGGGGCTGTGGAACGCCTCCTGAGCATGCGCTGTCGACCTGCTGTGCTGTATATCGGACGCTGCGCATGCGTGCATTGCTCAGGTAATCAGTATTTTTCGCCCGGGTGATAAGCGATTCTAAGATCTATAGAGAGGATTTACTGAAAATTGGGCAAATGTTTTTCCCTGATGTCCATTGCTATGTATAGTCAAGCCAGGGTGAGAACGGCAGGGAGGAGCTTCAGTCGTCCCTTTCAGTCCGCGCTTTCTACGTTCGACCATGCTTCGGAGTCTCGTGTAACCCGAGTTCGCGCGAGCAGCCAAAGCACGGTGGAAAGCATGGAGTGCGTGCTGGAAGTCGGGTGTTAAAAAAACAAAAAGCATGCCCTTGTTCTTGTTCCGTCAGTGACTATTGCCAATGACCGCATAAAGGGTAACCCCGGTCAAAAATTGAACCAGAATGAATGACTGATATCGGTTTACTGAGATTGAATGCGAGCATTGGCAAAATATTAAGACCGGTTCAGACACTCGTGTTTGAGTGCGTTTGACTGCATTGCGTCGAGAACCGAAAGCGAGTCACCGGCACATCTGTGCTTCGTATGATGCGTGGAATCCAATTCAAGGAATCATCTTGACACGCGATATAAGCAGCAGGGATGGCCTGGTTTCTCGCAGTTGCAACGCAGTCAAACAACTGTTTGAACCAGGCTTTATACTGGTGGGAACCGCGGTCCACCCTGAAACCGCCAATAAAAACGCTACCGCCAGCTTCTCGGCGGGCATCAAGACGGTTGGCTGATGGTCCAGCAACATTGTGCTCCGATTTCACGTTCTTACTCAAGGAGGTTACTTGTTCTTACTGCCACATCTTTCGCCCTGTATCTCTTGTTTTGTTTTCAGCCGTATGAGCGGACGATTTCTGCTTGTTACGTTATGTTTTAGCGGGCGTAGTTTGTAAGTGCTCCTCAGTGATCGCGCACGAAGCTTATAGACCTTTCCAGAAAAGGGCTGCTGGCCGGTTTCATTTTCAGTGTTCGTGCGTATCGCGCGTGATTTGCTCGCTTTCCGAAGCGACGCGCACGCGCGTGCTGAGCTGTAGAGATCGCACGCTGAGCTGTGGATTTGTAAACATTGGAAAGGTCTATAGACTCCCTACTCGCTCGAACGCGGGTGCCCAAGGTGGCGTTTGTGGCATTCGCTGGCGTCCATTGCATAGTCCGTTCCTGCTGAGCGCGAAATTACGATTAGCTTCCGCAACGCTTCTGCAACGTGCCTCGCGTACACCACTAAGATTGTAGTTCTTCACAGAAGTGGTTTGTCGTTCTCAGCCTCCGGTTCACCGTGGCGAACTCACTTTTCGGCCGGAAAATTTATGAATGCGCATTAATATTTTTTACGGATGTCTGATATCTACGAAACGAAGCAACAAAACAGCCGTTGAATCTATACCTGACTGATCTGAGCAGCTCTTCCGACTAGGCCGTTCGTACGTTTTGCGGTACCGAGGTGCAAACTTCGCGTCTGCTGACCACAAGCGTTGCCACCATGCTCGAGCCGCTAGTTTCGGTTTCCCCGTTGAGCCCCGAAACCAATCTTTGAGATAAGATATCTAGAAAACTGCGCTATAGGCATAAAAAAAAAAAAAAAAAAAAAAAAAAAAAAAAATTACACCACGTAATTCGAGACCGCTTTCTTCACTAAAACGCGGTCGTAACCCTGTAATCGAGAAAATGTACCGGAGTTACCCTTTAAAGGGATACTTCAACGAAATTTGAAATATTCCCGTCGTGTTCCAAAATAGGTTGAATATGATCCACAATATCCGTAAATGACAATCGCACGTTTGTATTTTGATCCTGGTGGCTGTATTTTTCGTTATAAACGGCCCACTCTGGCAAGCGCTCGGAGAAGGCCCAGCTTAGAGCACGTGACATCCAACGCAATCGTGACGTAGGTCGTCTCAAGACGAGCAAAGCTACGGCGAGGCTGACGTCGAGAGGATGGCCTAGTCGTTCCAGCCACCGAAGCGGCTGCTTTTGTAAGAATTTTGAGTGACGGGTTAATCTTTTATAATCTTCTAGGGGGACAATAGCGACTTCTGCGACACACAAAAGGGATTCTCGGGAAGAGGGGAGTTCCTCCTTCCCCCCTCCCCTCGTCGGGGCCGGAGACGAGACAACCTCCGTCACTAGCTGTCAAGGTTCCTAGACGAGCATTACAAACGAGGCGTTAGCGACATCCACCAGGTGCTCTTCGCTAATCTTTTAATTCGTTTTAAAATTCCATTTCGAGACTTTTTTAACAAGATATTGGTATGTTCCATGTGATACTGCTTTTTTGAACACATATAGACCAAAAAATGAGCGCCGAAATTTCGTTGTAGTATCCCTTTAAGAAATGCGGCGCGTGGTGAGACGCTGATATACGCATTGTAGTGATTCTTCACTGCACCGATAAAAGTACGCGTGTTGGTCTATAATATAGACCAACACGCGGCTCTGACTTCATGCCGCTGCGGTGGCGCTGCTGTCGGCGCATGCGCAAAAGCTTCGCCTCCGACGATTTTGGTTTCTGCACATGTTCAGTGCCCACAGATGGCAGATGCGGGCTTGTTTGTAACAAAATCATACGTAACGCGTTAGAGGTACCCCGTTACTTGTACCTAGTCGCACTTCGTAGCGAAGTAACGTTTTAGTACGTTTCGATGACGTAACGGGTTAGGGTATTTACTTACTTCTGGAGGTTATCTCCCCAGCTCGTTCCATACAAAAATGTCCTGTGGTCGGCTATAGAAAATTCTTTGTATGGCCGGCTTTAGCTATTTGGCCCAATTAGCTAAAGAATGTTCTATGGTTGTCTTCAGCATTTTTTTATGGTCGTCCTTATAGGCCGCTTTAGCTTTGTCTATGTATGGCCCTATCACTGTCCGGCCATAGCGCTCTTTAGCTTTTCTAACGGCTGGCTTTCTATAGCCAGCATCTATAGGTGCCAATGGTGTTTTTAGCCCTTTATATGGTCTGCTAAAAAAGGCTGTATGGGTTTTCCTATGGCCCTCTTTAGCCGGCACACTCTAAAAAAAAGTTATTTTGAAGTTCTCCCGAATTTAGAACGCCACATGGTAGATACACACATCACTGAACACACAAACAGCACAAGCAGAACAACCCCCCAAGTTCGCACTACCTCTATATATGGCAGTCTTATTTTTGAATCTTGGCCGGTGACTAACACGGAGGGGCGGAGCAAATATTACTCGTGCGTAATACATTATTTGAATTGTCTCTTGGAATCTCGCCATCTCTTAATTCAACACCCTGAAAAAAGCAAATATAGATCATTAGTCCAATTAACTAAAAATTAATATTTATATTTTTAATAAGTTTGATGATTCACGTAGACAATGCAGTGATGACATGCAGTACACTGGTGCTGAAGATTCCAATCAAGCTATTGCTTGATTGCAGTGTTCGGCGCCAGTGTAATCTGTATTAAATTTTGGGGGTAATAATTAATTTTATTGTTGCACAAGTATTTCGATGGATTTTTCAAACAAGCAATAATACTGGTTTTCACGACTCGTTGCAACAGCAGAGAACATATCTTGGGTCATGGTTTTTCACCGGTATTACAGAAATTTAGTATTGCTTTAATTTTCTAACTTGGAGTGTTTTACTAAAAAAACGTAAGTGCCGGTAGCGATTTTCTATAGGCGTGGAAAGAAAATTTATTGGTTCTTAGTCTTTAGACTTGGGGTCATAAATTTTTCTATAGACGGCCGGGTAAAGACAAATTATTAATTTCCAGTCTTTAGACCCGGGGCCAAAGAATTGTCTATAGGCGGGTAAAGTACATTTATTGGTTCACTGTCTTTAGGCATAAGAACATATAATTTCCTATAGGCGGCTAAAGCAATTCTATTTGTTTCCAGTCTTTAGGCTCACGGCCATAAAATTTTCTATACAAGGTTAAAGCTAATTCATTGGTTCCCAGTCTTTAGACTTGTGGCCATAGAATTTTCTGTAAGCGGGTAAAGAAAATTTATTGGTTCCCAGTCTAGACACAGGGCCATAGATTTTCCTATAGCTGGCTGTAGCTGTTTTTTTTTTTATTTCTATGGCCGACCATAGAGGGCCATAGGGGTGATAGCCTGCCATATAATGTTCCATAGACGACCATAGACCATTTTTGTATGGGGTGCGCACCTATAATTTGCAGGGCACGATTACGCTAGACAGACCATAAAAAAAAGTGCACAAGGTATGTCAGTATAGCCACAGTCATCCCTGAATGAACGCGTTCAAAAAGGAGCAATTATTGACGACGTCAAATATCGAAAACGGGCACTGCTTCAGAAACACGACATATTCGGTGTAACAAGCTGAGATAACGGGTTCCCTATTAAATCGCAGTAACGAGCAACAAACTTAATTACTTTCTTAGTGAGCAACGGGTAACGGTCGTTACTTACTTTATTTTAGTAACGTGTGCATGTCTGGTCTGTAAACAGAGCGCTGACATAATCCCACGCTCGGCGCGCTGGGTTGTCCTCCTGCTGCTAGGTGCTCCAAGAAGATCGCTGGGGCATGGCGACACCTCCTCTGCTGACGGCGATAGCCAGAGAAGGAAGTCAACAGGACGGCTCAGGCGGTGCCTTCAGTTCGCCAGATAACGAAATGACCACCGGGCCACTCCAGGTGGAACTCACGAGGGGACAAGATGCGGTGGCTGCCCTGGCGGCCGACGCCCAGGAAGATACCACGTTGTCTCCCGAATAGGCGAAACACAAGGAACGTGTGGAAGAAACAACGCATACTCATTGCTGGACAGTAGTCCGGTAGATCGATGGTTCTATTCCACGATATATTATACCGGCTTCTAACTAATCATGTTGGTCGGAATACTTGACGACTGCTCGTGTAATGCCAAGAGGTTATGTAATCTCTCGGTGTGTAACGCAGTCTTTAGGAAAAAATGTTTCAAGCTAAGCAATTTCCCTAGTGACCAGATTCTTTTCGTCTTATATATCTTGAAACGTAGATATTTTAGTTAAGATTTTTAGGAGGAAAAGGTTTTGGAGCTTGCATTTATTTTCAGTGAATATATCTGCGAAAAATTAGAAAGTGAAGAAGTCTTTTTTCTAATGTTTTTTTTTTAAGTTAGCAATGAAATATATTTTTTTATTTAGAAAATGCAGGTTTCATTCATCAAAGTTTATCTTCGAACTAATAAAAAAAATATACCGACTGAAATGTAAAACGAATCTTAAATATAAAGAAAACGCTTAGCTTTTAGCTTATTTAAATGTGGAATATTTGATGGCAAAAGAATGTCTGCTACACACATTGTTTTTTATATAAAAAGTAAAAAAAAATGCAGTTTACCTCCTCAACAGTGATTACAGAAAGTAAGTATGCATTTTGGGTATTCACTTTATATTACGACCACATGCGCGATATGATAGGCTGCTCTTGCGTAAAAACGGGGAAATATCTTCTCTTTTTATTCTAACCGCTTTACTTTATCACTGGTCATGTGCGAAGATATGTCTGTTCTTGATAATGGTTAGTGTGGGGTACTGCAGCCTCAGCATTATCAGTTCGACTCAAAACATTTGGTTATACATAGATGTAAACTGCATGAATAGGCGTCTGTGGGTAGCTAGTGTAAATGCTTAACCAGTAGTTAAATTGGACACCTCCGCGAGCAGAGTGCTTTATTTTATGGAATTTCGACGTCCTTCCACAGGCTCATGAAATTGCTGTCACCAGTCTTCAAAGCGATCCGCTGCTTCATCCGGCGTATCTGGTCTTCGTTGAAATGATTCTTCCAGTCTCCAATGATGCCCTTGCGAACAAACTCCCCGGTCATGGGCTTCTTCAGGAGATCCCCTAAGGCCTCCTTGACCAGTTGCAACCCTTCCGAGTTATCTGCCTGCATTCCATGAATATCCTGCGACCACGTACGGAACGCACTGTTCCAGCTCTTCATGTGCTCCAGGCTGGTGACCTTGAGAAGATTCTCCAACTTGACCGGATTCCTCCTTAGGTCCTTACCGTAGTCACCGCCCAGAAAATTCGCAATCTTTAGGATCGAAGATCGAAGATCTTTTTTAAGGTTCTCGTAGGTCACCATGAGCACGTTGGCTTCGTTCCTGTGTTCGTACCAGGACAGCTGATGGTCGAAGTAGTCTCCGGTGTCAGCCTTGCCGTCGATGAACATCTCGAAGAACTCATCGAAGGTTCCATCCTCGAAGTCGTACACGGGGAAGCTCCTTGTGTGGTGATAGAATGAGACGCAGCAATCGTAAGGGTTCCTCGAAACGTAAATGTACTTGGCGTCGACTGACTTGGGTATCAGGTGGTAAGGCAGGTGGGTCTTGATGGAGCCTGGTCGCTCCATCTGTTCCGCGCTCAATGACCCTTGCATCTCGAGGAACGGTGATTTGGACATGAACTCTTTCATGTCCTGCTTGAGGGAACCACCGGTGTAGATGGCGTACACGATGAGTTGAACCCAGGTGGTGCCACACTTTGGGTAACTTACGACGAACAGGTCACCTGGACGAGGCTTGTAGGCCATAGCCGAACGGACGTTTTTCTCGTGGAATATCCTGTTGATGTAGAATCCGTCCACATCCCGGTAGAGGTCTTGACTCATCCTGGATCCCTGGAATGATGTAATCGTACTTTAATCAGAGGTATCCCTCGTCACACCGCAACTGGGTAGCACGGGATAGCATTCGTACTGACTGCACTGGCCAAAGTGCTCATGTAAAAAGTCATTAATAATACGCCATTTCGGGGCATACTGATTTCACGGGCGGGATAAAGACAATAGTATGTTTCAGAATAGGGGGATCCCAACACTTTAGGTCCTCCGAGCAGCTTGGGGATGTGCACTTGACATATACAGAAGTTCTGCACATGAGCAGTGCGACGCACCCAGCTGCTTGGGGAAGCAAACGCGTTGATGCCCCTCATTCTAAAACTCTACAATCGTACAGCAACATTGAGTGACTTACGTCCGGTCCAGTATGTCCAGTCTCTTTAATAGGTCTCACAGCCTCAGTGCAATATCGGTAGGCCCGGCCGCTAGTCGGGAACGAGTTATGACTCCGTGTGGCCTCGTTGCCAGCGAAAGCCACAGGCAACGCGCCAAGCCGCGATCGACGTGCAGCTGCCTCACAGCGCGAATCTGGCGAGCAGGTGCAGCATGTGCAGGCAGCGAGAACTAACCCTCCATTTTCGCTCACATTTTTGTTTGTTTGTTACCTCGTTGCTATAGTGACATACTATATTAGACTCGTTCTATTTTTCCATACCTACTGCAACAGCTTAAACTCCGTGTACACCTCTATGTTGTATTTAAACCGTGGTCGCACTGCTAATACGTCCAACAAAACAGTCTGCAGACAGTCTGAGACATTCCTTGTATAACGTTCCTATCGGTCATACAAAAAAAGGTGTCTTTAGACATGCTTAAAGCATACGTATGAAGCAAACATGCCTATAACAAGCTTGAGCTGAGACCGCCGATAACTCTGCCACCATGTTTTCAGTGAACACGGTGGGAAGGCGGAATAAAAAACACTCCGTATGAAAACTGCCATGCTGGTTTCTACGCCAGGCTATGCTCTTTTATGCGTTTTTTTTTTATTCGAGTGTGTTACAAAAAAAGTGTAAGCTGGTGCGCGTAAACTGAACGGGCCATTGTTGTTGACAGTGGCAGAAAACAAATCCAGTAATTGTTTCTAAAATTTGGAGCGCACCGCATGTGTCATAACAATAAAACAAGCTGGGGAATCGCAAATTCAGTAAGAGCTTTAAACATCTAGTGCGGAACGTACCATACATAAAAAGGTGTGCTGTCGTAAGCGAAACATTATTTTCAAGTTATCCAAAGGTGTTATCTCACCTTATGTAGTATTTCTCATCGAGCGGCGGCCAAGGGGCCTACCGCTGAAGTTGAAACCCCAACAGGATTCTCGAATTTCCCAGAACACGAAATTACAAGAATAAAAGACTCGTCTCTCCCAGGAATCAAACCCTTACTCTTCGCGTGGGAGGCAAACACGATAACCGTTAGGCAATGGCCGCGCTGCCTACTTCGCCAGCTGCGCGCGCGGCAATATGGAGCCCCAACATCACAGTCTGTCAGCCCTTGCAGTTTATGTTGACAGTTGTCAGTAAAGTGAGGAGAGGACTCGACCACCCTGCCCAAACAACTAAACCAAGAAAAGTAACGTCAGGAGCATGCTAGAATACGGTACCGCACATCGAAGACAAAGAGAATTCGACCCCCTCGTACGAGGCTACATCGTCTGTAATGCGAGTTGTGAACCCGCGAATCGAGGGAAAACGGACCCGCGTTTGATGTCTTTGCAGGTGGCGGAAGACGTCGAAGAGGTTGGAAATGGTGAAACGGTGTAAAAGACAAAAACAAATAAACACGAAGAGCTTTCTCCTGCCCGGGCAAAAAAGAATAACATGATGGAAGGCGACGGAGAGCCTACTCGTCGTTGTCTTACTTGATCTTTGTCTTTCGTATAAATTTGTACATGCCTTACCCGTTTTTCTAGAGGTTTTAGTGACCGGTCACAGAAAAAATCGTGTTTTCTGTTCGGCTATTCTTCCCTTCCTGATGTTTAATTTTTTGTTGAACTTGCTCTCTTTATGCTGCTAAATATTTTGCTCGTATTGCTCTAGCTACTGTATTATGCTCATATTTAAAAAAAGTAACGAGTAATTAAAGTAATCCGTTACCAATATCTTGTAACGAAATCACATTGCAAATTACTCAAAAAAAGTAACGTGGCATTTACAAAATTACTTAAAAAAGTAACGGATTAAAAGTAATTTGATGCTTGTAACGGATTACTTCCCAAGTCTGTAACCGGAAAACCTAAACCCCAACCAACCCAAACGTGCATATAAAGACTAAGCTGTCTCCTTTAAGTTATACTTTCTCAACGCGATTCTTGAATTCTGCTTTTTAAGCAGACAAAGTAAGTTTACCGCGCGAATCTTCAGAGCTGAGAATTTTAAGGCTGGTTCGAACATTTGCGCCTGAGTCTGACTGAACGCGCTGCGACTTGTTGCGTTCCACTGCGATTCGTTGCGCGAACCTAACAGGAGCCGCGGACAACTGAAAGACCTCCTGGCTGATCTCATCCAAGTCAGTGTAGTGGAATTACTGCGTTTTTAATGCGTTATTATCATTAATGCCCTGGTACATGCGCTGGCCTTGAAGTGGTTTGAACTGACCAGAGTTCGCAACGTCGACACAGGATGGCGCCACAGCCACACTGTCTACGGAAACTGGCTAGGAAACACTTTCGGCAAGCGCCGACAGATGGCGGGCGGGGTGTGGGTGCGCGCTTTGGACGCCCCCAGAAACTCCTGCCAGTCCTGCCGCCGGCTTTGGAGTCCTGTGTACACACACGGACTGACATTCGACTCAGCGCATGTGTGTAACGCAAACTACTGCAGGGCTCCATACGATGCCGCTCATCGTGATATGGGACTTGAACGTTGACGTTAAAGGCGGACACAACCAGTCGCTGCTAGAGCAGGTGTAATCTCAGTATGGACTGGCGTTGTGCAAGTACACTAACGAAAACGGCTATGTCGTTTTACGTGCATCGCGTGCACGTCTTTCATGCACACTTTAAGTGAACTGATGTGCTTGCACCAGGAAGAAGAGGTGTTTCGGAAATGTACACCCCGGGAAAAGATGCCAAGTGGCTGCATTCACCCTGCTTTGTTATATTAAGATATAATCGCTGCGCTAAATGCTGACTCATTTCTTTCAGAATCAGCGTAGCGACGACAGCAATTTTGGCCCCTTTTTATTACTTAATATTATCGGTTTACACTTGCAGACTGACGTCCGGCAAAGGCAATACAATTATTCAAAAGGAATCATTTTTTTATTTCAAGTGCCCTTTCTTAGAAACTTTAAAAAGTCGTTGTTAAAACGCCATGCATAAAACAAGAATAAAAAGGGAAAGAAAATAATGCAGGTAAAACTTTTCTCGTTTGGACAAAATGGCAATCATCACTATCTTCATGGTGACTGACTTTGAAGGTATTGAGTTCAGTTAAGGAGGTCGACCAATGTCTTGGACCGTTTTTTGTTCTGCCATCCTTTATTGCGATATAGCACCCATTCTACGGCTCCGTTGGTATTTGTGAAGTGGTCTTATGGAAGGGGACTGATAAATCTGACGCATCAGATGTCAATGCTTTGAGTTTTTCTAGGTTTTCCGTGTCTTGGCTGGCTCCAAGTAGTCGCTGCTCCCCTACTCTCTCTTCAGGGCGCTTCTGAGAAAATCATAGCCCAAAATGTGCTGTCCTCGGACACTGCCATTGTCCTCTTCATATATTTATTTGTGTTTTCATCTCAGAACAATAAACTGTTCACACGGCACAACGCGCGCCTGTAGCGAGGTTAAATTGTGCCAAAATAGTTATTTCAAACTTGATGAAACTCGAACATTGTTCATAGTCATCATTCGTTTAATAACGCTCCTTGATTTGTGTCCGGTTCAACATGTATATCATCCAGACCACTTTTATACCTCGTTTTTATTTCGTTTCCCCCACCCCCGTTTTTAGCCAAGGTTTACTAAGGAAGGTCTATGTGTTTCCAAAGGTCCATCACATCGCTGCCGCCAATCTTCGTGGCAATGCGCTCTTTGAACCGCCTCACCTGCTCTGCCGAAAAATGACTCCTCCAGTCACCAACGACACCCTTCCTCACAAAGTCACTAATCATCGGCTTCGTCAGCGCCTCGTCACCTACGGCATCCATCATGAGCTTCACCCAACGCGGCCTCCTACCTTCAGGAATTGCTTTCACCTCAACAAAGAATGACTTTATGCCCTCGTTAACGTACTTCTTCATGCTGTCCATGTTCGTTTGCTCTAGGACTTCACCCAAGGCCCCCGGACTGGCCCTCAGCTTTAGACCGTACTCCTTGCCGAGAAAGTCTGCAATTTTCAGCACCCACGCAGCGGTGTCCTTTTTAAGGTCCTCATAGGTCAGGAAGAGCACGTTCGGATCGTTCCGGTGCTCGTACCAAGACAGCAGGTTGTCGAAGTAGTCGCCAGTGTCTACCTTTCCTGCAATGAACATTTCAAAGAACTCGTTGAAGGTACCGTCTGCGAAATCGTAATGGGGTACTCCTTTGGTGTGGTAGAAAAATGAGACACAGCAGTCGAACGGGTTCCTCGCGATGTAAAGGTACTTGGCGTCCTTCGAATAAGGCTGCAACTGAAAGGGCATGTGGGTCTTGATGGCACCTGGTCTGGGCATGTCCTTGATGGACTCGGCGCCTACCATCTCCAGGAATGGCATCTCGCGGAGGATGTCCATCATGTTTTCCGGCGGAGCACGGCCGTTGAAGATGTTGTAGACGATGTGTTGCAACCAGGTGGTGCCGCACTTGGGGTAACTTACGATGAACACGTCTCCAGGCACCGGTTTGTAGCCCAGTGCCGAGCGAATAGTTTCTTCGTGAAAGCCGTTGCTGACGTAGTAACCGTCGATCTCTCTGTAGCCCTCCGTCATCTTGGTTTCCTGTCAAGGAAGAAAATAAAAACAGCAAAATCAGTAATTATATATGCGATAAATAAATGTCTATTGCTTGCACTTGACGTGATCGCCCCGTGTTAAAGGTCATTCCTACTTGTTCTTGTTGAGAAAAGCTTAATTCACCAATGCAAAATGTATGCTCAGAAGGTACGCGCTCAGCAGCAAGGGCGTGATAATGGCCGCAGATGTGACGTCCGTGCAAGTCGTGTCTTGACGCTCGAACACAAAATTAGTGACTCGAACTAAATTATGCAGTTTTGAAGCTGCCATCAAATCTATAAGATGCTCCTGCAATGCACAAAAACATACGCCTCGGCTGCTGCAAAGTGGCAGATGCGTGGTTCCTCTTGGCGTCGCGGTAGATGATGCTGGCGCGAGCTAGGCGCCGCGGCGTAGATCCACTATTGATGACGTGTGACTGCGTCAACGCCGTCGGCGTCGGCGTAACCGCGCGGTGCATCATGCGTAAATTTCCCCGCTAAATTTAGCGGAAAAATTTCCCGGATAAATTTAGCGGGAAATTTCTTCTGCAAAATTTAGCAGGAAATTTTTCCGCTAAACTTAGCGGGGAAATCTTTCCGCTAAATTTAGTGGGGAATTTTTCCGCTAAATTTAGCGAGGAAATTTTTCCGCTAAATTTAGCGGAGAAATTTACCCATAACGCACCGCGCAGTTACGCCGACGGCGACGGCGACAACTCCCAAGCCGGAAACGGGCGCCTAAAGGCCCTGTCACACTGAGGCAACAGTTGGACAACTCTATCCGGCAACAGGGGAAATCGTGTTGCCGGCGACCCTGTCACATCGAGGCAACAACAACAGTCCGGCAACATGTTGCTGCTGCCCGGCAACCATGTTGCCCGATTTGTTGTCCGACAACCCTGTCACACCGCGCTGACGGCGGGGACAACACGGGCAACACTCCGCCATCTTGATTGTTTACCTCCGTTCGTGTGCGGCGCGGAATCGCTGGAAATGTGACTCTACAAAGCGCTAGTGCGTCCGAAGGGCCGGAAATTACCACGGTACGACATCAACTAGTAACTGTGATTAGAAAACTTTACATGGGGAGTATTTTCCGCTCTTTATTGTATCGAAATGTTCTTCATTCGCTGACAAAGCAGGTAGGCCTAACTGAGGAAACTGACATCGCTGATATATGTTGGGGATTTAATTACGCCACCGTATGAAGCGTTTCTGTCCGGTTCATTCTTTCATGCAATTCCTATTTCTACCATAAAATTGAGTTATACCCCAAAGCGCCTTTTGTAGCGTGGTGTTGCGCTGAACTGACAGTGTTTCAAAACTGCGACATTGACACGATCGCCACTCATAACAATCGGTGGAATAAAAATTTTTCAACGCTGTCTACTTGCCTACCACCTGCTATGCAATAACTTCATTCGCGAAAACGCCCTGGGTATTTTTAAAACAAATCAGGTGTCTTGTAGCGGCTGTTTTTTTTTTTTTTTTTTTTTCAAGTTCCAAGCATCAACAATCATGATCAGAGTGGTCGTTTTAATGCTTCGATTTTTCAATCGTTGGTTTTCTGGATTATTTTTATTATACTTTATCAGCGTGTGAGTAGGCATGCCATTTTATTTCACTGTCAGTAATGTGAGCTGGTCACTCGGCAGTTCTAATTTCAAAACTAGACTGAACGGTCACGACCGTAGCTGTGACCATTTCCAAGATCGCTTTCCGTAATTACGCAGTAAATATATTCCTCAAATTATTTTAGCTGCACGCCAGCCTTAATTATCGTTAAATAACGTTTTACACGCATTTATTTGAGTAAGACGTTATTGATAGGGGACTATCTCTACCATCGAAGCTATCTATGTTGTCGTGTTGCCGGCCCGAAATTCGCTCGGCCAGCGATCAGGGCAACACACGTTGTCCAACACAAGTTGCTGCTGTTTTTATCGCCGAAAGCTGTCATACCGAGGCGACATTTTAGTTGTCGTCCATGTTGCCGTGCTGTTGCCGCGATGTGACAGGTTTGTCGGACAACACGGGGAGCGAGCAACAAGTTGCCCGACTGTTAGACAACGTATTGTGTTGCTGTTGCCGTCGTGTTGCCTCAGTGTGACAAGGCCTTAAAAGCTGCGCTCTAAAAAAAAAAAATAAAAAAAAAATAAACGCGTTATTTCGAAACCCCTACATAATCGCGCAAAGAATACACAGGTGACAACGGCTCCAATAGGCATAAGCAAACTATCTTTTCCTTCCAATAAAGATGCAGCAGCGGAACTTTAAAGCGCTAGAACACAAGCTACGAATGACTAGAAAGACTATGCGCCGACAAAGTGAGGAAGACCAGTAGTGGGGTAGACGCAAAGTTAGCTGCATTTCTCTCTACTCACACTTCGAAAGCGTTGGATTGCCAAACGCCAACATCCAGCGTTCCGAGTTAGCGTTCTATCGGGTTCGGAGAGTGAGCATGATACAAATGCAGCTGGCTTTACGTCTACACCCTAATCATTCCAGACAGAGCTCGGTTTATTTACGTCCCCGCACGCTCTGGTCTCTCCCTCTCCCTCACTTTATCGGCGCATAAACAAAACCCCGAGATACATATATATGAATATTTCATGGTGTAATACGCCAAAACAACAGGGACAAAAAACGAAGGGAGAACTAGACAGGACGCGGCGTAACTTTCAACTGATTTGTTTATTTTATAAATATTTTATAAATAAAAAAAAAATAAACAATTCAGAAAGAAAGAATACGCCGCGTCCTGTCTAGTTCTCCCTTCGTTTTTTGTCCCTGTTGTTTTGACGTATTACACCATGATGCAAAACCAACTAGCCCAACTAGCCATCTATATGAATATTTGTTTTAAGGCTGCGAATGATGTTAGAGAAACTCGTACCTGATGCGAAGCAGTGGTCTCGTTCGGTTTCCGCGCGTTGCACGAAAGTGCTTTCCACCACTTGACGCTGAACTCCCACCGTGTGAAGTCCCGCGTCGCCACTGCCCTGATTCATTCAATTCTAGGGCGCCGAGTTTTACCGGATGTGACACGGTTCCCCGAAGTGGGGCAGCGTGAATCGATCTTCGTCCGCGGCCGGAAACGATGAGTTTCGTACTCGAAACATTTGATTATGTCGAGATAGTCTGCTTTTTTTTTTTTTTGCCATTTGCATCGGTGTCAGACATAAAGTATAAGTATTCGCAGGACGCGTGAGCCAGACATCCGTCAATTTTCGTATCTTATTTTTATTCTATACGCCTACGGCGCGCGTTTGCCTTTAGGCACGCGTCTTTCACGATTAATTATTTCAGACAAAAGTTACACGTTTTGCTGTCTGCCCCTGCCTCTATCTTATTGGTGCCTATTATTGCGTAGAACAATACGTGTAGTAATACCAAAAATACCAAACCGCGATCTTAAACCTTTAATAATCGAGACTGCAGAATCGTTTGCCAAGTTTGAACCTGAACCCTCAGGCTCAAACTAGATTGTGGCCAATTTCTTTCCATTCTTCCACTAGGTTAACCTCTGATGCATTCGACCTTATTACTTCGTGGCTGGGAACATAATAGAAGAACTCACGTGAGGGTCTGTTCGATGAGCTCACGACATCGATCATGAGAGCTGTGAAAATAGTGGTTGGCAAAGAGCAGTATAATTTCCTGCATTGGTTCAACGTTGCTGTCGACCAACACAATGTTTACAAACAAGCCCTCGTTTGCCTACACCGGGTGAGGGCACGACGCGGGCGCAGAAACCAGGTTCGTCTGAGGCGAAGCAATTGCGCATGCGCAGTGCCGACAGCAGCGCCACCGCAATGGCGTAACGTCAGAGAGTTGATTTGGTATATACAGTAACCGACAATTTAAGAAACGCATGGCGTGGCGAGTCCCGAGCACATTGTTACCCCTCCTCAGCCAATGAGATTGCCGCTTTTGTCTATAAGAACACCGAAGAACCAATCACGAAGCAAGAATCTCGATCTCGAAATGACGCATGCATTTTGTGTGGCCACCATTAGTTGGTCACGTACAGTGAGCACGCATTGGACACACGAACGCTCCGTTAGCATTCGGGGTGTACTCGAACCGAAACGCGATTCCACACGAGTGCTACGTCAGTGCTCCTCGCAAACTCGAAACCAATCACGGGCTTCACGCCAGACGCGAGGAGACCAACTAATGGCGGCTGCGCATAATCTATGCATCATTTCACAATTTCGGAATCGGAAAGGGTCTATATTCCTCGCCGACTTTATCCTCTTCCTCAGTTTCTCTTCGTTTACACGCTTTAAACACGCGTCGGATTGAGCCGCCATTGTCGACATTCTCTCGTCTTACCGAGATGCTGAGCCACTGTAGCGGGCGTTGACCAGCCTCCACAAAGGTCTATGCTGGGGAGAAGGACACAGTAACACCTGAAGGGGCAACAACTTGTCCTGCTGTGGTAATGATGAAGTGAAGCTAACGGAATAAGAGGAAACAGAAACTAAAGGTCGGTTATGGCGGCGCCCATGCACAGCTGCCTGAAAGCGTCTATGGACCAGTATCTGCTCTGTTCCATGGGCGCTTGCATCTTTGTTTATACTGTTGCCACGAGACAGCAAAGGAGGGAGGAGGGGGGTGCTTCTTGCAAGACTCCGTTCCTTCAGAAACCTTCGCACATATCGTAGTGCAAGAACTCCAGAAATGCACTGCCGCGAAGCTCCAAGGAAACACCGATGCCAAGAGTGCTATAAAAGCAGACACCTTGTTTTATGTGCAGCTTTCTCTTCACATGAGCCTGCGTTTGAGATTATCTCCAATTTTTATTCCTGGCGTCTAAGATTTCGGACACTGGTTTATAGCTTCAAAAAGGGCTCAAACTGTTTAAACGTTACTTTTTCGACAACGCTGCATGAAATCTCGAGCAGATCTATTTTCCCCGAATGTACTTGGAAGAGCCAGTCTCTGGCAATCTATAGCAGTATTATGCGGAGGGCAAGTGGTCTGCTTCCTGCG